GTGTTGGCGATGATGTCTTGCTCTGATTGACTGACAATAGCTGATTCATTTGCTTAGGAGGTATACATGGAGCAAATGACTCTTAGTCTTAGTATTTATCATGTTAGTGATATTTCATTGTCTTCTACAAAAGCTAGTGTACACATTGAAAATGTGAAAGGTAAGTACGTCTCTGTTCCAAGGAAAGTACAATTATAAAAACACAACTTTTTTCGATTGTACACTTGAACAATCATCGACATCTTCTATTCGCATGCATTCACATACTAACAATATATATTAGCATTAACATGATGTTTCAAAATGAATAGCTCGTTATGTTCTGATGTCCACAATTGAATCGATACAATTAAAATTATTGCCCTAGATATAGAATGAATAACCTTGAAATTTGTTGATTGACATGAGACAAATTAAGGAAAAGTGACTCAATTTAGATTTTCACAAAAGTCCAATGACTAAAGATACAATTAACCTTTTAAGTAGGGTTAAAATTGACATTTAATCCCTATTTGAGCTACATTATTTTTTTCATTCATATTCTTCTACTCATTTTCAACCATACATTTTTCAATAAAATAATATTTTACGTCATATCAATAATTTTCATTCTTTTTCAACCACATATTCCATATCACATCAAACAAAAAAAATGCATTACTGGACTCAAAATATACATCAAACAGGGGCTTAAACAATGAAGCCCTAGCTTTAACTCTCTACTCCATTCCTTCAAAACATCCCCCGCCGTCAACCGTCGCCATCCACCGCAACGCTGCAATGCTCTCTCTTTCTCCCTCCATCTCTATGTTTATTTTCTCTATGTATAAATACATATAAGTGTAGGACACTTCCTAATAACATTTTCGCAATAGTCTCTCTTTCTCCCTCTATCTCTATGTTTATTTTCTCTATGGTTTTATGATGCTTGATATGAATTTGATGCATGCACTTTGCTAAAGAACTGAATTTAGAGTTACTTGTAATCATAAAAACATTTCTTGTGTAAACTGAAAATTCAAGCTATATTTTGCCTTGTGTAACATAAAGTTTTGATAAGATTCATATTTTAGCCACTTCTATTTTCTTAAAATATAGACTTTACAAATTAGTGAAGAAAGAAATCTCGGGACTCTGCGTGAAAATGAGAGGGTATTGGTAAACAATGAAGTCTTTAAAATTTAAATAATTCTTCTGGATTATTTGTAGATTATAGCTTTCATTCTTGGAAAAACTTCCACAAGTTCCATAATGAAGAAAAAAGTCAATGCACCCAGTTGATTTCTTAAGTTTGGTACTCAAGCAAATTTTGCTTTATTATTGGAAGAACTGGAGTCAACGATTAATGGAGCTATAAGAACCACTCCCTTGAGATGAAATCTACGCATAAATGTGGAGGTATTGATAGACAATGAAATTTCGAAAAGTTAAATAATTCTTTTGGAATATTTATAGAATGGAACTTTCATTCATAGAAAAACTTCCACAATTTCCACAATGAAGAAAGAAGAATATATGCACCCAATAAATTTTTCGAGTTTGATAGTCAAGTAAATCTTGATATAATTTTAGAAAGAATGGAGTCCACAATTAACGAAGCGGTAAGGAGCACCCCATAAAGATGATATCTACGTGAAATGTATGGCATTGGTGGACAATGAAGTATCTGAAAGTTAAATAATACTTTTGAATTATTTATAGACTGCAACTTTCATTTCTGGAAAACTTCCACAATTTCCACAATGAAAAAAAAAAAAAACTTTCATTATTTCCATAATGAAGAAAGAAAAATCTATGCACCCAATTGACTTCTCAGGTGTGGTAGTCAAGCAAATTTTATTTTATTTTTGGCAAGAAGTGTTCACTACTAATGGAACGGTAAGCACCACTCCCTTAAGATGAAATCTACGTGAAAATGTGAGATATTGTTATAAGTTAAATAATTCTTTGGATTATTAAAGAACGTAACTTTCATTTGTGGAAAACCTTTCACAATTTCCACAATGAGTAATAACTTTCACAATATCCACAATGAAGAAAAATTTCCACAATTTCCACAATGAAGAAAGAAAAAACCAATGGATTTCTCGAGCTTGGTAGTCACACAAATTTTATTTTATTTTTGGAAAGAAGTGGAGTCCACGATTATGGAGCCTTAAATAGTTCTTTTGAATTGTTTATAGAATGCAACTTTCATTCGTGAAAAAACTTCCACAATGAAGAGAAGGAAAATCTATACACCCAATAGATTCCTTGAGTTTGGTAGTCAAACAAATTTTGTTTTAAGCTTGTAAAGGCGTTGAGTCTTATACACCTAATATTATTTATATATATATATTTATATACTTAAGCAACGTGACATTTTATTAATCGAACTGTGCACTTTTCTCAATGCGCAAATTTTCATAATTGTGGGGAGAGAGGGGGCGTGTGTTTCTACGAAATGGTGTAGTTTAAATCAAAGAATAAAGAAGTATTGGGTCATTGAACCCTTTTTAGGGGTTGGAAAATTGTAGGGAGAGAGTTTAATATAGCAAGACTTAACTACTCCTTGGTTGACCCGTCAATGATTATTAACTGAGAAAGAAAGTAACTGGGCACCAAATAAGGCGGTTGGGTTTATTTCGTATATATACACTTACAATCATATCAAACACCTCATTACAGACAACTCCCAATCTTCTATGTGCAATTCAATTAGACATGGAAAAAAAAGTGATCTTTACGTTGCTAACAATGCTTTATTTGCTTATCTACGTTGTTGCATCCCTCAATAGCTCCACTAATGAGTATTCTCTTTAGCCTTCAAATCTCAAATTTCTGATCCAAAAAAGATCTTGGCAAAAAATTGGTCACAAGGAACTTCTTTTTGTTATTGGATTGGTATTACTTGTGACACAAGACATCGAAGAGTTAAGAGGCTTAAATCTATCAAATATGGGCTTGAGAGGCACTATTGCAAAAGAGATTGGCGCACTCTTTTTTTTTTTTAGATCCTTGATTATTAGAAACAACAATTTTTAGGGATTTATCCCTGATGAAGTGGGTAATTTGACCCAACTTCGAGAAATAGAGATGCACTTTAATGAGATAAACGGTTCCATTCCATCAAGTATTGGATTTCTTGAAAATCTACGGACATTAAATCTCTCCAATAACATACTCAATGGAGATATTCCTAACACAATTTTCAACATCTCCTTTGGTAGAAATTGGTTTATGAAACAATAGTCTCTCTGGGAGTCTTCCCACAGATATATGCACCAATCTTCCAAAGCTAGAGAAGCTAAGAATTTCACTGAATCAAATAAGTGGCGACATTCCTCCAAGTTTGGGAACATGCCAGAATCTTGAACTACTTTCTCTAGCGGGAAATAATTTTGCTGGAAACATTCCAATGGAACTCTGGAACTTGTCAAAGCTTCAAATTCTGTATCTTGGAAAAAATAATTTGATAGGTATGTTTAAAGCATATTTCATTTACATCTTCTAAAACACTAGATTATGGTTTCCAAAAATCTTGAAAATGGATCAATATTGTTCTTCCTTTACATCATAAATATTTCTAGTTATCTGCGTTGCTGTCCATGGAATAAGTCCTCGTACATAGCTACACTAAAGAGTAAGAACACAGAACCCAGAACACATACTTTAAATTAAATAAATACATAAACGAACTTGAAGCCCGCACTCGCAAAACCCATGATTATTTGTTTGCTGACTTATTTTTATTGCAATGACTAGGATGATGAACTTACATAGATGTAATGGTCTTAGAAGAATTAAATGATATTAAAAATAGGAAAATACCTTATTACACTTAGGCTTAGCCAAGGCACGTGTGGGCTTGTAAAACTTGATTTTTGACATTGCCGCTTTGTCATACCTTGTGCCTTTTAGAATGTTCAGATAAAGAATTGAAGATGTCATCACATGCTCTTAAACAAAAACTGAAATAAAATAAATAAGATGCAGCATTCAAATATGCATGACTTGATGGTACAATAAATAAAATTTCAAATGTTTTTCCTTCATCAAATGTGGAATAACCAACTGTACATAGCATAACAATGATAACTCCATCCATGTCAATCAGTTCTTTTCCTATGTCAAATTTAGTAATTGTTAAAGGGTTACTATGCGTCTATGTGATTACAAGTCATGTTTAATAGTAGACTTACCTTCAACGATCTGAATAAATCTCTTCTTTACTATGAAAATCGAATTGGAGATAATGAAATTGCTGGGAAGTTTCCAGAATTTCATGGAGAGATAGTTCCAAATATATTGCAGTGTCGTACACTTCAAGCTCCTCGCATTTATAGCAAATGAATTCAGAAGCAGTACTATTACATATTAATCTCATCATCACTTCCGAGTATTCAGATCAAAATTTATTGATAGATTGTGCTATGTGTACACAAGGGAGTACACAAAATTTTACACCCTACTCACATGGAGGAAGGCCCGCACACAATAAAATATTTGTGAGCCCACTTCCATGTGAAAGGGTTGTAAAACTTTGTGTACACCACAAGGTGCACACATAGCATTTTTCTTTATTTATATATGTCTTTCTAAAAACAGTCTTATTTTAGTAATAAATATTAGAGCCACTAATATTTGAATCTAATAATTTGATATTTAAATAAACTGAATTATTTATGATTCCAATGTTTTTGTTCAATAATAACCTTTTGAATTTTCAAATATTTGACTTTCGAATTTCTGTTTTCAATATCCTAAAATCTATTCACAGGGAGCATTTCATATGAAATTGGAAACTCAATCAGCACTTCAATCTTTATATTTGAATTCAAACAACTTGACAGGTATCTACTATTTAATACAACTTCTAAGATTCAGTTGAGTGTGCTGACAAACACAAAATTACAGGTACAATTCCGGATTCAATTGGCAGTTTATCAAATTTGAAGGCTTTGATTGTTGAAAACAATAATTTTTATGGTCAAATACCACAATCCATCTTCAATCTCTCCATGTTGCAAGCAATTAGTTTTGCAAGCAATAATCTCTCTGGCAGTCTTCCTTTGTCAATAGCCAATGGGCTCCCTGATCTCAAATATCTCTTCTTTGGTGCCAATCAATTGAGTGCAGAAATTCATGGCTGGATTTCAAATTGTTCTAAGCTTATTAAGTTGGACCTTAGTTCTAACTTGTTCAATGGACGTGTACCAATTAATCTGGGGAATTTAGAAGACCTAAAAATTCTAAATTTATATGATAATCTCTTGACAAATGATCCTTTGGTGCTGTATTTGGATTTTCTACCTTCGTTGACAAATTGTAGACAATTGAAGGTCATAGAAATTGGTAACAATCTTTTTGATGGAATGCTTCCGAAAGCTTTGGGTAATTTTTCGACATCTCTTCAAGAATTCTATGCTGCTTCTTGTGGCATCAAAGGCATGATTACAAGTGAAATTGGCAATATGAGCAACTTGATCTGGCTAGGAATGGGAGACAACGAGTTCACAGGAAATATTCCTGACACGTTGAGTCAATTGAGGATGTTGCAATTGTTGGAGCTTGATTACAATAATCTGCACGGGTCAATACCTGACAACCTTTGCAATTTGGTAAATCTTTATCGCCTAGTTTTGGAGAATAATCAGCTCTCTCAGCGGCTACCAACTTGTCTAGGAAATGTTACTTCTTTACGAAAATTTTTTTTAGCTAACAACTCATTGAGTTCAACCATCCCATCCACACTATGGACAAACAAGGAAATTAAAATAGTGGACCTATCATATAATTTTCTCAACGATTCGCTCGTTCCACAAATTGGCATCAAGAATGGGATGATAAAGATAAATCTGTCAGGAAATCAGTTCTCAGGTGAGATTCCAAGCACTATTGGGAAACTTGTGAATTTGGAAAGTATAATAATTTCAAACAATCGATTGATTGGTCCTATACCCGAGTCTTTAGGTAATTTGATTTCATTGCAAGAGCTGGATCTGTCAAATAACAATCTCTATGGTGTAATTCCCAAGTCATTGGAGAAACTTGAGGACCTTGTTTATTTCAATGTTTCGTTCAATAATCTCAGTGGTGAAATTCCAAATGGAGGGCCTTTTAAGAACTTTATCTCAAAGTTTTTCATAGGCAATAAAGAATTTTGTGGAGCATCTCAATTTAAGATCAAGCCATGCAAAGATAATAGAACTAGATTTTCTATCGGAAACAAAGTTTGGAAGTACATTTTACCATCAATTGTTGTGGCATTGTGTCTCACCATTAGTGTAGTTTATTTGATAAGATACCATAGAAAAAATACACTTCTTCCAGCTCAGTCTACTTTCCCCAATCACCATCAGGAGGATTTCATATTATGAAGTTCTAAATGCTACCAATAAATTTGGTAAAGAGAATCTGATTGGCAAAGACAGTTTTAGTTCAGTTTACAAAGGTATATTTTCAGATAGTATGATCGCTGCCATTAAGGTTTTTAATCTAGATTTGGAAGGTGCAAACATGATTTTTTATACGGAGTGTCAAATACTATGCAACATTCGTCATAGAAATCTTATCAAGGTAATTACCAGTTGCTCTAACCTAGATCTTAAAGCCTTGGTATTGGAATATATGCCTTATGGAAACCTTACCAAATGGCTGTCCTCAAGCAACTATTTCCTAAATATAGCTCAAAGAATGGAAATAATGATAGATGACTGGAGTATCTACATCATGGGTATCCCTTTTCTATTGTCCATTGTGATTTGAAGCCCAGTAATGTACTTTTAGATGAAGATATGGTTGCCCAACTTCGGCATTGCCAAGCTTTTTACAGAAGACCGGAGAATTTTGATGAGTAAGACAATGGGCACCATTGGGTATATGGCTCCAGGTAAATGATTCTGTCAACTTTTTATATATGTAGTCAAATAATATACACACAATTATTCATAAGTATTAATTTGAATGTATATTAATATTTCATTTTCCATTTCACATGTTAGTTTGATCATATATGCCAATTTTTTTAGAGTATAGGTCGACAGGAATAATATCGCCTATGGCAAATGTTTATAGTTATGGGATTATGCTGATGAAAACATTTACCAAGAAGCAGCCAACAGATGATATGTTTGTTGGAGAGTTCACCATGAGGACATTGGTGTTTGAATCATTCCAGGATGCAATAATGCACACAGTGGATGTGGATCTAGTGAATGTAGGTGAAGACAATATTGGAGCCAAAGGAAGCTTCTTAATATCGGTCATGGGACTAGCGCTAGAATGCACAGCTGATTTGTCCAAGGAGAGGCTCAATATGAAAGATGTTCTAACAAGGCTTAAGAAGATCAAAAATGAATCTTGTTGAAGAATATCTGAGGTGGAATAAGATGAAGAGGTTTGTTTCTCTATCACAATTGATTTTTCCAACTATAACACAGAAAAGATGATTATTTGAAGCTTCTTTCATGTTGCTATTGCAGAAAATATGGAAATAATCTAGAGATTTTTAAGCTCTATTTCGCTTCCGTTGCTGTGTTGTCGGTGGCCCTAAAATTGTACATAAAGTCATTTGTCTGATGAATAAATAATTTTTTGAAGTTATTGTAAAATAAATTAAACGACATTTATGTATTTGCTGTGAGATGTTGTAGAGAATCAAATCTCAATATATTCATGAGGTGAGAATATCATTAGCTAATGATCATATCCTCTTCATTTGCACTTGACAATGGTAATTTAATACCAAGCAAAATATTTTCGTATTAGACTTGCATATAATTCAATTGATTATTTTTGCTAGTCTAGTGAAAAGATCTTATACTTTCTCAGTTTCTTTCGTCGCCAAAAATCATGAAAGTTTCTTCACAAATTCTAGAGTCATGGATATGGCTTTTTCTGAGCATTCAATTTCTCCATGTAGGATCTTCAAACATGGTCGATTCAAAACAAAAATATACATCAGGTTATCTGTAAATGTTCATGTTGGGGGTTTTTAACCAAAAATATGTTTTATGATAAAATAAAGCAAAGCATAAGTAAGAAAATAAAAGATAACACCAGAAATGTTCACCTAGTTCGGCAAAGCCTAGTCTGAGGGCTCAGGGATCAGCCCGTGTATTATGTGCAACAACTGCTTTCACGAAGAGCATTGAATCAAAATCAGACCGTTATTTTGATAAAGATAATAGAACAGATCAGTTCTCACAAGTTTCTCTCACAACAAAATCACGACCTTAGCAGTGACTCAAAACCGTAGCCAATATTTCAGGCCTACAGGTTACTGTAGCACAACAGCTTCACAAGGAATATTTAAGGCTAGAACAGGGATAAACCAGAGAGAGAACTTAGAAAATCTCAAACAGAGTTCAGAGAGTAGACGGAGAAAACCAAAGAGATTCAGATGCCAAAGTGAATGAACCATTGGAACCCCAAGGGGCTTAATCTAAGGTGGATAAATCTCAGGCATTGATCAGATCCAACGAATCATATTAAAGCCAAAGAAACATAATCCAGGTAATGGCCAAGCAACCAATCAATGAAGGCCACGTGGAGCAGCAACTTAAAAAATACAGCAACTGAGAAAATTATAGGGAGGTCCCTCAAGAATCGTGTAAAAGGAGAATCACGTTTTTTTTCCCAATCTTCACCTTGATTCTTAGAACACATACCCTCTTTAATTGCTAAAGTGAACATTTAAATTTGTTGATCTATTATCATTGCCCAAGTTCTTACAAATAAATTAATCTCTATCAATAAAGAATAGATAAACATGGTCTAAACTTACCAACGGAGAATTTTAATGCCCATATCAATTGGGTTTTCAGCAATGTGATTTGTTTTTCAAGATTAACATCATCAAATGATATCTTTTTTTTCTTTTGAAGTGATACTTCACCTCAATGTGTTTGGATCTAGTTTTTCAAGATTAACATCATCAAATGATATCTTTTTTTGCTTTTGAAGTGATACTTCACCTCAATGTGTTTGGATCTATCATGGTAATACAGGACTAAGCAAGAATTATAGGAGATTCACTTAAAAAAATTCAGGTCAATACATTTTTTAATAGACTATTATTGCCTCATATTCAGCCTCAGTGCTGGATAATATCACAATTAATTGTAACTGGGACTTCGATGTGATGTAATTATCACCTAATGTGAAAAAGTAAGCAGTAGTGGATTTTGTCTAGTCTTTGTCCCTGACAAAATCAAAATCCACACTCTTTGAAAGTTAACTTATTAGACCTCTTCTTAAATACGAATCATGTGTTTAAAGTCCCATATATATACTTTAATATCTATTTCAACCTAGCCCAATGTAGTTTCCCAGTATTAAACATGAATCTAGAAGGGATACTCCTTTATTCGGTATCAGACCATCCATAACGTCATATCCATTTTACTAAGTTATTCAGTAATTCATTTTGGTTATCGTCTTTTGCTAAACCTGAACTGATTAGCATACACCTTACTTTACTTATTAGGGTTCTATTCATTCTCTCTTCACCCCCATTTTTTGGGGGTGTGTGTTTTATTGTCATGTGTCTAACATCCCCTTCTTATTACAAAAATACTCAAACTCAAAATTGCAAAATTTCAAACCATTGTAGTTCTTAAGGTTTTTAATTCCTTGTCCAGTTGGTTTTCAACCATTTTTAACCAAATTTTGAATTTCTGAAATGTTTCACATAAAGGTTAAATCCAAAATTTTCTAGAATAGCCGTAAACTATGGATAGAAAATACTTATTCCCACCAAAAGTGGGTGACTTGAGGTCTCCATAAATATAAGTAAACATAGTCTAATTGTCTCTTGGTTGTAT